ACGTCGCCGGGCAGGTTCAATTTGTCGACTTATGGATAACGCAACGTTTCGTAGTACCGGGTACGTAACTAGTCTAACACCGTTTATTGTACACTGACTAAAGTTTAGAACAATACCAAAAAACTACACTCTTGAGCTCGTGAAAACTCCAAAAGAAGAGCGTAATCGAACAGTAATAAAGTTGGCGCACTGAAACTGATACGCAGCCTCTTATTGGTACCGGTCTCTGATTGATCATATTTATAGGTAATATTTAGTGTTCTCGCTGCATCCAGAGACAGTTACCATGACTTCTACTGACTATTTGGTCAACAGATAACACTTGACGGGTTTTCAGGAGATTACTGAACGTGAATATTTAATTAGATATGATCAAATGAGATCAGTCGTTTTAAAACAACTCAAGTAGGAAAAAAAGACATGGCCAAAATTATAAAGTAACTGCTAAATTGGTGATGTATAATACACAAGTAATTGTGATGGAATCAATGTAGTAGGGAACAAAATATCGTTAATGTCCAAACAGCCACAATTTAACTATCCTCTATCCCTTAATAATAGAATTTACTGAAGCTCAAATTTAACAAGTTGTTTATCCAAAGCATATGTTGTCTGAGAGCTCACACAGGAATTAAGTAGGACAGATGAACGGAAATGAAAAACGTGATTGTGAATTTGGCCATGGGAGCCTGAACTTCAATTCAAGCTTGATGGAAAGTGCATGAAAAACACTACTGTAATTTTATCGTCCACGACAAAATCAATTTCTTGTGAGCAATGTTTTCAACACTACGAGAACTACATAAATTGTAATAACTTGCTGAAAAACTGTCCGATTTTCATGACCCAAACGCAGACCTGCAGACACTCTTCCGTAATTACTGCTACGCGCATGTTTACCGACCTTTGACATCAACTGCCCGAACAAAAATTATCGTTACACCTCACTAAGGTGAAGGCGGCTGAATTTTAATAAGCATTGTGATGGCAGTCAGAAGTCATCGTCATGAATGGCGCGTAAACACAAAAGAATAATCAGCTGAAAAAAGACTCAAGTAGGATTAAAACCAGTTCAGTCTCTTTTTTTTTTAGCTCCATGGTGAAGCCAACTCTTCTTTGTCTAGATTTCTCATGCTGACCTCGTATGGTCAAACTGGATAGTGGTCAATAAAGGGTGGTTACTTTTGATTTTTAGCTGTATGCTAGACAATTTATTCAAATGAAAATGGTAACCCATACACATACATGGTTAAAAAAATGCTCCTGCATAAACCAATTAATTTGCCCAAATAAAAATAAAAAAATATTTAAGAAAACAAAAAGTTGTTCATGTATGGATATACCTACCATATTTTTGTTTTCAATGTTACCAGAAATACATTATATTTTATATTTTGCCAACTGTAATTTATTCAGTGTTTAGTCTATCTATTGTATAGTGACTGAATGTTTACATTCCTAATTACATAAACTCAACATTCATTTACAGCAAGTTGACAGATACTTGGTTTTCTTTTCAGGCAAAAACCCAACAGATCAATATTTAGATAGTATGATGAATGAAGCACCTGGTCCAATCAATTTTACAATGTTTTTGACATTATTTGGGGAAAAACTTAATGGCACAGATCCAGAAGATGTTATTAAGAATGCCTTTGGATGTTTTGATGAAGAGGCAACTGGTGAGTAGAATGTACAAATGTCTTACCTGTTTATAGAAGTTTCATATTGATTTAGTTAAAGGGGAATCATTCAAACCCAGGGATTGCACCAAAGAATCACAGAACACTATTGTTTATGTTGTTTACAAAGTTAATCTATCTATTGTTATCCATTGTAATTTTAATCCAGAAAGTAAATTTGTTGCGAGATTAGTCTTAACTGGAGATGCCCCTTTAAGTGTTCTCCTCATACCCAGATTTTATCCCCCAAAAATAACAATAATTCATAATATGTGCAGTTTGCTTAAACCAGACATCTTCACAAAGATTATTTTCTTGCTATTTGCTATTATCATAAATATATGCCATGTTGTATGACATGGTACAAAGTGCATGTATGTACCATGTTTTTTAACATTTCATATCAACAAATTAAAAAAACAGCTCATGGCCTCTTAATTTTCTAGATAATATTTTCTAAACAATACATCTTATCATGTAGAATGAGATGTTCATAAATTACTTAAAAAATGCATTTTCCTCACCTGCTTACAGGATTTCTTTCTTATTAAATGTACAAATGGATTTTCAATAGACTTCCTTTTCTATATATAAAGCTACATCCTGTTGTAACCTTCATATCATGACAATTTGTAATAAATATCTTGCAATATACTATAAAAGCATTAATTATTTTCTGGTTTTTTAATTTCACTTATTTTACCCAATAATCAGCTAAATTAAACCCATGTAAACATGTAAAATAGAACTCATTGTTTCCCTGTCAAGTTAGTGAATTTATAAGACCCGGTGCAATTGCCCAATACATCAAAATAGTTAAATGGTTTTACAGTACTTGACATTGGAAAATGAATTGCTGGTGAATCAAGTACTCTTTATAGAATTACTTTAAATTTGTTTTGTTTTTCATCAACATTTTCGGGACCTTATTTTCTTTAAAATGTGAGAAAATGTCAAATTTTATCACCTAATACGATATACAGTCCTGCGTTTTCAATAATTTTGACCTGTAGGCAATGGGAAATTATGTCCATTTGGTTCAAAATTGAGACAGAAATTCTAGAAAATGAATTGCAATGCATCATGTTTGATATGTGTTCCATGTGACATGTGCAATGTATGTAAAATACCTTAAATTAGAATACACATTGCATCAAGACTACAACCCTTAACTTGTGTCACAAGCTTTTATGGAAATACTAGCGAACACTGACCTTGTCGCAATTTATAGCGTCACTGAGCACTACTGTAAAATACTTTATTTTCACTTGGAATTAGTTTTCATTATTTTCACTAAAGGAATGATTCAGAAAATAAAGTCCAGCGAATATACCATTTTTACTATATTTTACATTCCACTCGTCAGAAATCAGTGAAAATAAATTTCCTACAAAACACCCAAAAAGTTTTTTCAGCGAAAATTAATTCCAGCGAAAGTATTTTACAGTATGTCATGCAATAAATTGTTCTTGTATACGTTTGACTTGACAAACTGAAATTCACAGCAAAATAGCACAGTCAGCGTTGAAATGTTCTTATCATTTACCCATGTTGCCCTCATTCAATTTTTATCACGAAATGTGCTGCATTCTTGTGCGCATGGGCACGCGAGTTGAGTCGGTTGCGGGTAGAAACCCGGAATAGAGAAATCGAGAAGACAAGTTTACCGTACAGTAACAATAACCCGACTGTTTATTCGCTTCAATCGATTACAAGCAAGTTACAATTTAAACAACAAACAAACTACTAACAGTAATGCTGGGATGTGATTGATTGAAAGAACTGTGGGTATGGCAACAACAATGGGTGTCTAATTAGGTCAGACTAACAGTCTCCACAATTCTATATAATTTATGTCAGATCTTGTAAATCCAGACAAATTTAATCAGTATTTTTACTTTTCATTCTTGTTCAAGGTTTCATCAATGAAGATAGGTTACGTGAACTTCTTATGACCATGGGAGATAGATTCACAGAAGACGAAGTAGATGAGATGTTTCGTGAAGCGCCCATTAAAAACAACATGTTCAACTATGTGGAATTCACACGTATACTTAAACACGGATCGAAAGATAAAGACGATAACCCAAATATTTAAATTTTCCTGCAAATTTGGTATTAGTGTCCTAACACATAAACGTCAGTAGGTCCTAAACACATTAAACATGGCATATGGATCTGTAGCTGTTTTTTGTGTTAAACCGCCATGTTCACTTCCACAGACACGCCCTCATAACTGTGAATGATGGTCAATTACTGTATAATACTTTATTTTCGCTTGGAATCTATTTTCGCTGAAGGGATGATTCCGTGAAAATAAAATCCAGCGAATATACTTTTTTTCCTATATTTCACATTAAACTCATCAAAAATCAGTGAAAATAAATTCCATACAAAACGCCCAAAAAGCATTTTCAGCGAAAATTAATTCCAGCGAAAATAAAGTATTCCACAGTATTAGGTTAATATTTACTAATAACCATCTATTGAAAGTATTAGGCACCAAAATAGAGATGCTTGTTGAATTTAGAAAAACCTTGTGTGGTCTGGTGTTTGTTCGACATTATACAAACACTGTGTTAACAGCTACCATAGCTTTTTTCATGCATGTATTTTAGTTATTATTCAACTTCTGCCTTGTGTCACGCTTGTTGGTGCATCCGCCGTTTCTTTATGATGGTGCTCCCAGATATAATTTTATACAAAAATGAAAAAAAAAAGGAAATTATTCAAAATTCATTCGTAGCGAGTGGTATATAATAATATAGAATGATTGATGGTGATGTTGTCCTTGTCCTGCCTAGCAAGTAAAAGAAGTTGAATAAAAGTAGTGGCAATAAAGTAAGCTTTAATATAGGATATTTTGGACACTTTTATTAGTTTTCATTTAATTACAGATGACTAGTTTTATTGTGCTTGGAACAAGACTGAATAATGTGATACAAACTTGTAATACTGTAAAATACATTTTTCTTGGAATTAATTGTTGCTATTTTCGCTTAAAGAATGATACAGTGAAAATAATATCCAGCGAATATACCTTTTTTCTTGCATTTTACATTCAGCTTGCGATAGTCCTTGAAAATAAATATACAAATCATCCAAAAAGTTCCAGCTAAAATAAAGTATTTTACAGTAGTTCATTTAAGGTGGCGGTATTTACACTGCTAAAATGGTTTCACCCTGTTGATTTGCATATGGTATGCATTAATATTATCTAAATCTGTACAAGGCTTATTTATTCATTTGGTTTTATTTTCACTTATTTTGCCATGGCTAAATACACTAAATTGAAATCAAGTGAATATTCACATTTAACAATAGAATTAATTGTTTCCTCCTCAAACCAGAGATTTTAAAACCTAGCGAGTATCTTAGCAACGTCAAATCTGCTAAAATGAAAATTGCTCAAGTATTTACTCAAATTATTTGTTCGTTCACGCACAGCTTAAAAATGAACACACTTTCTGACAAAAGTTATCATGCATTTGCCATAAAGCATATTTCAGTCTTACTTACTTCAGTCTACTATTTTTGTTTTATTAGAATCGCATCTTGTGTGAATCACCTGATAAAAGGTTACCATAAATGGATCAGTATTTGGTCTACTTAAAATTCTTCACATGTGATTCTAATGTAAACAAAACATTGATGAACACCCATGCCCCAATATGGCTTTTCCCGTTTTAGAATCATCACTGACTGCAATAACAAACTTCAGATTTCACCAATTCTTGTCTTGTCTTGTATGAAAACAATTTGTTGACTTTGACTGTTGCGCAGACCAATGAGTACAAACTGAGACGTTACTAAGCATTAACGAGGTAATTTCTTTGGTGATTGGTAGGTTTCAAAGGAGTCTCCGGTGGTAATTAGTGCACCCAGTTCGAAACTCATGCTCATGCTCGTGATTTTCACGAGACGAGCACATTGGATTGTGGGTAAATAGATATTCATCAACACAAATGTCACGCATACACAACATGACGACCGCTGAATTTTAAAATATTAAGTATTAGTTCTCTCACAATTTTTTTTCAATTATTGCATTTTTTATTTCTCATAACATTCCAATTATTTGACAATTTCTGTAAGATTTTTTCTGTCACTATGATGTATCTTTTATTCATATAATTGTGTTATTAGAATATTTGTTCAATATCTTTATTTTTATATTGACATCTGAATATTCGCTATACAATTACTTTGTGTCAGACTCTTTAAAATAAATCTACTAGTATTCCTATACATGTGGTGTGGTTTCTTTTTTGCAGTTTCTTGAAAACCCAAATTCAAAGTCTTTAATGTTGATGCTTTGATATCCAAATTTGCCTCTCTATCGACTAAATGAAAGTAGTAACTTATCTACAACAGTGCTCGAGACATGACAGTTGTGCATATTAATGAGGTCACCTGATATTTTGATACATACCACTTGTTGCTTCCTTTTACTA